CGGGGCTGTGCAGATGGATGCGGCTCCAAGAGGACACGTGTGATGAGCGCGCCCGCTCTCAGCCCGCAGCCGGAGGGACGTGGGACCAGAGGGGACGGGGGTCCCGGGCGAGGGGGGCGCAGAGGAGGCACTCGCCGGGTGCCAGGCGGCCTCGGTCCCCTGTCTGCCCCGGTTACTTCCAGCAGCTGCTGATGGAGACCAGGTGCCGGGAAGCCCCCACGCGCCCCGCCGCTTCCCAGCGCTTCCCAGTGCTGCCCCCTCCTTCATCCCACCCTGCATGGAGCCCGGGGGGTGTCACCGCTGCCCCTCGGGACCCCTGCCCCTGCCTCCGTGGGCTCTGTCGGTCAGTGCCCGCCTCCTGCCCCGGGCCCTGCGGCGTCTCCGCCAGGATTTCTCTTCTCTTTCTTCCTCGCTCCGAACAATTAATAATTTATCTCGTAATAAAAGAGGAAACGGTTAATGAGATGAAAACAAGGCAGAAACATCTGCTGGGGCTGCTTTCATCGCCGTCCCYGGGCCGCCCGCGCAGGAAGCGGCGGTGAAGGGGGGGACGCGCCAGCAGGAGGCTGTCCCCCACACCGGGCCTTCCTCGCCACCGCCGCCTCCTCCTCCTCCTCGAGCGCGGGGACCYCCGTGCCGCAGCCTGGCTCAGGCCCAGCCTTCCAGAGCCCTCTCCTCACTGCACAACAAGCCTGGCTGAGACCTGCTGYGCTCAGGTCATGCATGGCCCCAGCATGGAGGTGTCGCCTCCCTGTGATGCTGCCCCAGCCCCGCAGCAAAGCTCCTTCCTCCTGCTTCCCCAGGGAGGCGCCGGGCGGCTGGAGGGGGCTGGGGCTGTCCCCTGTGTCCCCTGTGTCCCCTGCTTCCCCTGTGTCCCCTGTGTGCCCTGCGGCGGGCCGCCCGCGAGGACGGAGGCTGGGAGCAGATGTTGCTGGTTAGGGCGATAGGATCTGCGGGGCTGCCCCCGGCCTGATGCTATCGGGGCAGGAATGCGACCCCGGAGCCTCAAGGTGCCCGGGGCACCGCTGGGCACTGGAGAGGCTCCACTCCGTGCCCGGACAGCGCGCGAGGCTCCGGGATGCCGGGCAGGGAGAAGCGGCAGAGCAGGATGGGGGCCGGGGGTGCAGCCCTTTCCCCAGTGGGTTCATAGCCTGAGTGTGGGATGGGGAGAGGTCAGACATGGAGCCCTGGATCCCAGGACATGGGCTGGGATACAGAGCCAGAGCAGTGTCTGGCACAGGCTGGAAACAGGAGGGAAATGAGGGGAGGAAGGTGAATGGGAGAGGGAAGGGAAGGCCCGAATCCAGCACACACACGGGAAGACTTCACCAGCCCAAGTACCCTCGTTTCACCGTGTCTCCAAGCGGTGGCCGTCACCAAAGGAGTGCCCAGGTCTGGGAGCAGGGTGACGGGCACCGAGGCAGCACATGGAGCTGCAACGGGGGCCGCAGGGCCAGGGAAGCAGCACGGGGAGCAGKACAGAGCTGGGGCTGTGGGCGACCTCTGCTTCCACCCCACTGCTCCTGCCTGTTCTGCGGATGCTCCGAGCTGTTTGTCTTCTGAAGCCACTAARCTAATTCCGAGCCCTCCTAAATCCCCCGGCCCTAATCCCACCCTGCACTCCAGCTTGGCCGGGGCCAGGCCAGGCAGCGCCTCAGGGGCAGAGGAGGGACAGGGACATCACGGGGAGGACAACGGGGGTCTCTGTGCAGCCCCCCAACCCGGGACCCCCAGGCCACCCCAGCCAGACTGGAGGCCAGCAGCAGCTGAGGACCGTGCTGGGGACAGGGGGACGTGATGACAGCTGGGGGTGGCCCCGCTCCGCTGAGGTGTCACGGAAAAAGCGACGTCAGCAGCAGCTCGCAGGAATTCGGGATGGCTGGGGGCAGCGGGGGGATGTGGGTCCCAGCAAGTCCCTAAAAAAACCCCTCCATTTCCCCTTCCTTGCACTCCACCTTGGGGCATGGAAGGTCCCCAGAACATCCCGTGGAGGGGACATATCCCGGCCCGCAGACGCATGTCTGAGTGTGGGGGACTCGTGACACCGGGGATGCGGCTCCCCATGCTGGGGGGGACAGTGAGGGAGGGGTTTTCCTGGAAGCTGGTTTTGCCCTCGGGAGCCCATGGCGGCCCCCGCGGGGGGACAGGGCTAATCCCCCCCGCCGGGCACACCTGGGGCTGCCGCAAGGGCCGCTCGCCCGGATTACGGGCGCTAATGAGGGGGATTAGCGGAGCGCGGGGCTGGGAACGAGCCCGGGGCCGCTCCCGATGCCACCTGTGCCCCCGTCGGGGACACATCCTGCCCCCCCCCGCCAGGGACACATCCTGCCCCCCCTCCGCCGTCACCCCTCGTCACCAGCCCTGGCACCCGGTGACAGACAGGCTCGTTAACACCCTAATTTCGGCTCCATCTCTCCCTTCCTGCCCAAGCCGCCAGCGCCGCGGGGGGCTCATGCCGGGGACACCCCGCGCCTGGCTCGTCCCCGAGCCCCCCGCGAGCCGCGGTGTCCCCGGCTGCGTCCCCCGGCCCCGGGGCCGGCCCCGCCGCCGCTCCCTGCCCGGTTTGCTGCCCCAACGGCGGCTCCGCGGCTCCTTTGTGCCGCACATGAAGGGGCCGCCGCCGCTCTGAAGCGCCCGCCGCGCAGCCCACGCCGGCCCCGTGCCCCACGGCCCCGCGCCCCATGTCCCCCACGCGCCCCCGACCCCCCAAGCCTTGGCGGTGCCCCCCCTCCATGCCCGTCCCCGCATTGGCAAGGGCTRCAGCCGCAGTCAGCCTGCTAAATTAGCGCATTCCACCCCAAAACGCTCCCCCCCACCGGATGGAGGGCTGGCCGCGATTCAAAGGCGCTGTGTTGTATAATTTATCGGCTGGAGATAAGAGGCGAGCAGCTAACGAGCGGCGGGGCTGCGGGGGGAGCCTGGCACCGCGGGGCACGGGGCTGTGCCCGCCCGGGCACGGCAAGCGGGGAGACCCTTGACCCCCCACCCCCGTGGGTCCTGCTGGGGGGCCTCGGGGTGCCCCYGCGGGGGGAGCACCAAGGCTGCTCTGTGTCCTGCTTTGGGGGTGCAGGTTAGGAACTTCACCCCACTCCATGCCCCTACACTGGCATGACGACCCCTGGGGAGGGCACGGGAGCCGGGGGGGACATTGGGGAGGCCAAAGCAGCGCCCGCTCGCCCTGGTTTGGCAATCGCGGAGGGAGGCAATGCCGSGCGCAAGCCGGGGCTCGCGGGGGGCTCCGTCAGTGCACAGAGCCCAGGCCGAGCCCTGGGCACGGGTGCAGGGGCTAGCAGCAGSGCCGGGATCATCCCAGGGGAGCGCGGGCACCTCCGGCACGGGCAGCACGCGGGACCCCCCGCCGGGGCACCAGGCCGTGCCCCAGCGCCGTGCGGACGCCCATAGGGCACACGGGGGGCACGGCCACCGCAGGCCCCGGCCGCGGCGGCGGGTCGCTCTGCGCCGCCCCTCTCCCGGCACGGCTGGCACGGGCACTTCTGGGCCTGCACTGACATCTGCCGGCACACGGCGATGTCCCGCACAATGCATTGGGTTGTATTCCATTCTGGCAGTCAGGGCCGGCCGGGATGTGTCCTGTCCCCTCCTGCAGCCCCCAAGCTCCGGCCGGCCCGGCCGCTGCCCCGGGCGGCACCGGAGACSGCCCCGTTCCCGGCACGGGCAGCCAGGCCTGGGCGCCAGCGGCGTCTGCTCCAGACGTCCCAGCACCCACGCGGGGCCACCCCAGCCCCGCTGCCACCCGCGGCCCTGCCCGGGGACACCGCGGCTCGCGGTGACACAGCCGAGCACCAAGCGCAGCGCTGCAGGCACCGCGGCCGTGGGCCAGAGCCGTCTGGGCTCCAGAGCCCCGCCAAGCTCCGGGGCCGTSCCGGCTCCGGCGGAGCTCGGGGCACGTGCAGAGTGTGCCACGAGCGGGAGGCGCCTCCGCCCCGGACACCCTGGGCACAGCCCTGCCCGTGTCGCGGCTCCGGGCACCACGCGCCGCGCTCCGGGACGTGCCCCGTGTCCTGGAGCCGTTTCAGGACTCTGGAGACGTCTCTGGAGACACGGAGCTCCATGTCCCGCACACGTCCCCGCTCACAAGGAGGTGTCACGGTCCCCAGGGGCAGGTGACACCAAGCTGCCTGCCCTTCCAGCATTCCCGCTCCGCTGGGATGCCCATCCAGGGATGCCCATCCAGGGATGYCCATCCAGGSMTGCCCATCCAGGCACCGACCCGGCCGATGTCACCCCGCGCTGTGTCACATTGGTGCCACCCGCCCCCAAGCCCATCGAGGCTCTGCCCGCGGGCATGGGGTGCCGCTGCGACGGGGGACAGGAGGTTAACGGCGGGGCCGGGGCCGTGCCCGGGCGGTGGCCGTGCCCGGTGCCGCCGTGCCCCGCCATCCGCGGCCCCGCAGCTCCCCCTGCCGGCGACCGTGGCCCCGGCCGGGATGCGACCCGCGACCCCCGCCCCCGCAATGCAACCCCGTTGCGGGCACCTCGCAAGGCAGCGCCCCCCTCCCCGCCGCAGCCCCCTCCCCGCTGCAACGACCCCCCCCACCCCGGGGTGCCCCCCCGCTGCAAAGTGCCCTCCTGCTTGCACCCCCCGGAATGCCCCCCCGAGCGCCACGCTGCGCGCGTGCAAAGCCCCCGGCCCCCCCCGTGTCCGCAATGTCCCCCGAGTGCAATGTCCCCCCACAGGAATGTCGCCCCACTGCAATGCACAATGCACAATGCACCGCGCTGCAATGCACTGCACACCCCCCACTAAGAGTGTCGTGCCCCCCTCCCCCCCGGTGCGTTTCCACGCGTGGGGCGCGCCACGGTGCCCCCGGGGGCACGCGCAGCCCCGCGGCCGGGCAGCGCCCTGCGCATGCGCCAGGAGGCCCCGCCCACCGCCGCCCTCCCCGAGGCTACTTCCGCCCTTCTGCGGCGCGCGGCGGAAGCGGCGTCAGGAGCGGGGCGGAAGCGGCGCGGCGGCAGCGGCGGGGGCGCCGCGGCGGCGGGGCGGCCATGGCCGGGATCCTCTTCGAGGACATCTTCGACGTGAAGGACATCGACCCCGAGGGCAAGAAGTTCGACCGCGGTGAGCGCGGCCCCGCCGCACCCCCCCCCTCGGGCGAAGCTTCTCGAAGGCGCCGCCATGGCGCCCCGGCGCCCATTTCTCCCCACGCAGCCCTGGGCGCTCGGCCCCAGCCCGGTGCTGCCGCTCGCAGCTCGGGTGTGGGCCCAGCTTTGGGGCAGGGGCAAGGCCTGGTGCCCACACACCGTCCCCAGGGCCTTGGGGGCGGTTCTGTCCCTGCTCCTGAGCCTCTGCTCCCCGCAGTGTCCCGCCTGCACTGCGAGAGCGAGTCCTTCAAGATGGACCTCATCCTGGACGTCAACATCCAGATCTACCCCGTGGACCTCGGTAAGCGGCCGGCCCGCCGTGCCGGGCCGGGCTCAGCGGGGTTGCGGCCCGGCTCCCTGCCAGGGTCGCTCGGGTTCTGTTCCCTGKGTGTGCTCTGTGGTAAAACAGAAAGAACCAGGCTGTAAAGAGAGCGTTAGAGATGAGCTCCAATGCTAGAAATACTCAAATACTAAAAATACTCAATGGCTGAAGACAGAGCGCAGTCATAAATGGCGAGSGGGGCTGGAGCTGGTGCTGCAGGGTGTCAGGGGCAGTGCAGAGCTCAGCCCCACAGCCTGGGGCACTGTGCGCAGCTCCTGTGCGTGCCCTGCTCCCTGCCAGGGCCACGTGGCCGGGCCCTGGGTGCCTTTGGTGGCCCTGCCAGCCCTGCCCGCTGTGCGTGACGCCGCTCTGGCAGCGCCGCCCGTGTTCTCACGGCTCCTGGTCCCTCTGCTGCCAGGTGACAAGTTCCGCCTGGTCATCGCCAGCACCTTGTACGAGGACGGCACCCTGGACGACGGCGAGTACAACCCCACGGACGACAGGCCCTCCAGGTAGCGGCACCCAGCGCAAGCTGCGGGGCTGGGGAGGCGGCGCAGAGCCCAGCGGTTATAGGCTGAGGGGCTGCTCGTTCCTTCTCCCAAAGGAAGCACCCAGTTGTGATGGTTCTGCTGTCCCGTTGCAGGGCGGACCAGTTTGAGTACGTGATGTACGGCAAGGTGTACCGCATCGAGGGCGACGAGACGTCCACCGAGGCCGCCACGCGCCTGTGAGTGTCCCCAGGAGCGGGGCCCTGGGTGGCGCGGGCACCTCCTGCCCCTGGCTTTGCCCTCTCTCACCGCTCCTTTCCTTCCTGCCCCAGCTCTGCCTACGTGTCCTAYGGGGGGCTGCTCATGCGGCTGCAGGGAGACGCAAACAATCTGCACGGGTTTGAGGTGGACTCCAGGGTTTACCTGCTGATGAAGAAGTTGGCCTTCTAGAAGAGGACGTCTTGCCTCCGAGGKCTGCCCCAGAGACGTTTTGCTGGCAAGTGAACAGGGCCCCCTGGTTCTYGCCCTGACATCGGTGCTCTCTGGCCTCTCCTGTGCTGGTGGAGGAGGGGACAGTCCCTCCCTGTGTCTTCTGGCTCTTGCTGGGATTTGCAACCCCCTTCCACGTGGAGAGAGGTGCCTCTCAGCCAAGCAGGGGCCACGCCGGGTGCTCTGCAGTCCTGCTCACTGCTAGTTTCTTCCCACCTTTATTTTTGTACTTCCAAATGAGGCTCAGCCACAGCCCTGGTCGAGGGCAGCTGGTCTGGGACAGCCACCTGCCTGGGAGCCGGATCCTTATCCGAGAAGCCATCCTGAGACGGGCCGGGCTTGTTCCCAATTAAACTTTGGGCTGTGTTTTCTACATCTGGCTCTGTTGTCTGAGAGGGGAGGCTGCCTGGGAGCTCTCAGGCCTGGGTAGGGGCACAGTGGACCTGGGTGCTGCACGGGACACGGGRGCTGCTCTGCGAGTGGGCAGCATGATGGGCATGGGAAGTATGAGCTGCTAGGAAGAGGGGGAATCAGCCTGAGCAGAGAGGTGCTGTGAGCCCCAAAAGCTGCCCGGGCTCTTCCCTGTGACCTGCTGGGGCTGGTGCCCTCCGGGCTGTGCAGTCACTGGAGGAGCGAGAGGGCTGCTCRGTGGGAGCTTGTCCCCCGCCATGGAGGGGCACACGGGCACTGCCAGGCACAGGGACCTCTCTGCCCTCCGTGTGCTGCAGCTGCTGCGGGAAGGAGACCCTGGAGCTCGTCCTCTGGCCGAGCCCCACGAGGCCACCCTGCCAGAGCCGGCCAGGGAAGGAGACACAAACAACTCTGTAGAAAAATAGCTATTTTACTGTAACACCTTCACAGTAGAGCTGCCCGCGTGGGCGGGAGCGGGGCTGGTGCTCAGTGCTGCCAGCTATTGCTGCCAGCCTCCACGGGCCAGGTGGCAGCCAAAGGCCTGTGGAACGGGAGTCAACCCTTTCCCTGCGGGCACCTTCCTGGGCACCCAGGGCCCGCTCCCCAGGGCACGGTCCAAGCTCCAAGCTGGCCCTGCCCTCAGGTCCGCAGTGAGCCTTGCGTGTCCCCTCACCAGGCCCGGGGGGCGTCTCTGCCACCCCCCTGGCCCTGCTCGCACGTGTCCTTGGCCAGGTCGTGAAAGAAGAAGCGCAGCTTGCCCTGCACCAGCTGCCGGTAGGTGAGGAAGACGCCCGCGAGCTGCGCGTGCTGCACGGAGCGCGGGGAGCAGCCGGGCTCCTGGGGTCCCTCCTGCGGTGGGACAGCGCGGCACGGGGGCGTCACAGGGGGCAACGCGGTGCGGCGGGCGCCCCGGCGCGCGCGGGACCCTCACCTCCCAGCCGAAGGTCTGCAGGAGCAGCAGGAAGGAGCCGGCGTGGCGCTGCAGCTGCCGCAGCTGCCTGCCCGCGCACTCCTGCGTCACCTGCGCGCCRGCGCCCGCCGCGGCGCCCGCCACCAGCGCCAGCTCGCACACGATCTCCCGCCGCTTGGTCTCGTTCTGAGGGGAGCGGGCCGTGAGCTCGCCCAGCGCTGTGGGCGCCGCAGCTGCCATCCCCCTCGTTCCCACGTCCCAGGTAAGGATGGGGATCCCGCCATGCCCACGTGATGCCCCAGTGCCATCTGATGTGGCTGTTTGTTGTGCCGGCCCCGTGTCCCTCTGCGCACCCTGCCCCGTGGGCACCACAGCGCCCAAACGCCAGCCCCTCTCACCGTCTTGGCTCTCCACTGCTTGATGCTGAAGTCCACCAAGGGCAGCACCACGGGGCAGGCGAGCGGGGGCAGCGCCTGGCACTGGCTCTGCGGGGGCAGAGGGGCGACGGCGCCGTGAGACGCGTGGAGCTGAGCCCGGCGCTGCCCRCGGGGAGGGGGCACCGCAGCCTCACCGCTCTCTTCTCCATGTCCTTCGCCTCCCCGATGTACTTGTGCATGAGCCGGGTGTCGCAGAGCAGCCGGGCCGGGGTGGCCCGGCCCGCTTTCACGTGCAGGAGGAAAGAGGTGAGGAGGAGCAGCCCTGGCGGGAGAGGGGTCACTGTGGCACCGTGTCACCCTCGCGGGGACRCTCGGCCGCGCGCGTCCGCCTGGGCAGCCCCGGAGCCGCCTCTGCAGTGAGCAGCTCACGCCTCAGTGCTGGGCACGTTGCCAGCCCTGGAGTGACCCCTGCGCTCAGGGAAGGTTGTGGAGGGGGAAAGGGGCCTGGTGCTGCCCCATGGTCTCCCTCCCGGCTCAGCCGGCCTCGCCRCAGCCCCTGTCCCTGGGCCCGGCAGCCCGGAGGTGCCCTGTTCCCGGAAAGGCAGGTTGGTGCCCGCCTTCCAGCCAGGTTCCCAGCGCTGGCAGCGGAGCCATGTTCCCCACGTGGGCCCTGCCCTCCCGCCCTCCATAAGGAGTGTTCGTGCCTGGAGCAGCTCCAGGTGTCACGTGTGTGCGGGGAATCCCGGCCTGCCGGCACGTCTGCTCTGCGGGCTGCCCGGCACGGCCCTTCCCGGCACCCGCGGGGCGCCGCTGCCCGCGCACCCTGTGCCCGGGGGCTGCTGCGCCCACCGTGCCCAGCTGCCATCTCCTCTCCAAARCCCCCATTGGCTTCTACCTGCTTCCCTGGAGCCCTCGGCATAGCCGGCTGCTGCCAGCCCGTTCCCGGAGCGAGCAAGGAGAAACGCTCGGATACCCTCGGGAGCTGGCAGGGCTGCATCCCACCGCACGTGGGCCACAAGGGCCAAAGCCCGGGGTGAGGAGCACACCCAGACGGGACACGGAGCCCGCGGCCGCTGCCCCCCTGCTGCCGGCCACCCCCTCGCCCGCACTCACCGTTCAGCTCCATGCTCGCCTGGGCGCTTCGGCCCCGCATCTCCCGCCTCGGGGCGCGCGGCTGCTCCCCGGCCGCCGTCGCCGTGCCATGGAGGGCGGCCGCGGCGCGGGCCCCCCGCGAG